CATGGCGCCAGAACCAGAAAAACTCGCCGAAGACTGGTCTTCGAGTCGAGTTCCAGTGGTTCGACCTCTGATGACGAATCAGTCTCCTCTTCTGATGTGGATTCAAAAGCGCCTGACTGCTCTCGAGGGCCCGTCAGTCGTGCGGTCTCCGAGTCTTCACTGAGTATTCCTGTTGTTGAGAAGGAGGAACGGCCGGCACTGTCGAACAGCGAGGATCCTTCTCGTGTGCGTTCAACTTCCGAGTGTCGGGTCCCAGAAGGAGACCTCGCCCCCTTCAAAGAACCACCGATGAGGGAGTTGAAGAAGAAGCCTACGCGGAGCGTAAACGTTCGCCGCGGCAAGAAACCACCACCGACAGTTTCCAACGTTGTCATTAGTACGGAACCCCTGACTTTTATTGACTCTCTCTATCCGTTGGGGGCAGAACCACCCTATGCAGTGGGCAGACGGCGACACCCGAGTGCGGAGAGGTAATGCTTCTCGAATATTTTATTTCTTGTATACTTATCGTATTGTCCGTGAACATTTGTTTAGGGACTCCTTTGTGTATAGTGTTTGTCCTGCTTTTCACACCGTTTTTTTTCACATTAGGTCATCCCCCTAATGAAAACTAAGTCCGTTAGTAACACGAATTCTAGTCTTTCAGAGCAACTACTATGCTACTAACAGAACTATCAATTTCTCGGTATTTTGGGCGACTGTTTCAGCGTATTGACAAATAATTATAGTCAACAAAATGACTCGTTTTCTCGATCGTTACCGAACGGGATCTGGTTCAAGGCCTAGCTAAGATACACTAACTGATCGATTTCAGGGTTCCTGTTTTGATTATTGAATTGTTCTAATTCTTTTTTTGATTTAAACAGTTTAAATTTATCACTTCTTCGCGGCTTTCTATTGTCATTCGATTGCCTCATACAATATTTTACTTGGATGTGAGAGCTGAGAGCCATATTGCCCGGAGTGTAATGTCTAATATTTAATTGTAGTATTTTTTTGTCTTTTATCCCTTAAGATATGTAACCAAGTTCAAACAGACGCGTGTGGAACTGGCTAATCGCCTCTTCGCTTTTTACAACAAAGTTGTCTTTGACGAAACGGTAATACCCTTCGACTTTTAACTCCCTCTCAGTGTTGCTGTAACTAGACTTGATAGGTAGTGTTTCCCACTTTAAGACGGGCTGGAAATGATTACTTCGATTTCCTCCCCTTCTACGAAACACCTTTCCGGCAAACTTTCCCCCTCGTTAGGTGCCTGCCTGTTGGAACCGCGAGCATCAAAGGTTGGACACAGTTCTGGCGAGTGTAGTCGAAGTCTACGCACATTACAGACATAAGCAGCATTATTTGGGACCATGAGACCCATTTATGTGTCTTTAACCCCTAAAGACCTGTCAAGATAGCCCTTAAAACATTCAGCTTTAGTGTCTTGTTAGAGGACTCACAATAAAATGGTCTTCAAAACTCGCAAGCCTCCCGTTTCTTTCAGCGGTATCTGCACATGTATATATTATTGTTATATATTATGCATTTTATATTTAAGCTTCATAAATGCTCTCCAGACGGACGAAAAGAAATTCTCGTTGGGCGGCGGTTTATCGCATAACTTTACAGAGTTTGTGAACCTTTGCGTATATGCAATAAGTGCTTAATAGGTGCTACTTGCTGTGATTTCTGCATGCTTTAGCCTCCAAAATAATGTGCTTAGTTCAAGTTGCTGCGACCCAGCCATGTAAGTTCGCGTCACAGTAGTCTCTAATGCCTGCTGATATAAGTTTTTGTAGTTTCCTTGACGGATTTTCTTCTTACGATAACTCTTCCTTTTGCTGTTAGCTGCCAAAAGATCTTTCAGTCGAATGGAACGCGAGGCTTTTGAAGACAGCTGGGCAGTGTGTCTATTTGCGAAGGAAGGTCACTAGCCGAGACGGAATGGTGACCGAGGTGCGTCTTCTCATCAACCTAGGTTTTACTTTCTTAGACAAATATTATATGCATCGGTCTTTGAAAGTAGTCAAAAACCATGTAGCCGGCTGCTGCCTGATCATTCTGTTGTTTTAGATTATTCCGGGAGTCTGCTCTAAAACGTTACTTTAGTTTGCATTTGGTTCGAATATGGGAAAATGTTTAATGTCTAAAATCTCGTGTTAAACTTTGGTGCACTGGTAGTCGTTGGTCCCGGCGTACAATTTAACGTCCCGTTTTACTTGGCGATTTCATTGTGTCCCCATACGAGCAAGAGCCAAATTCCATATCCTCGTGAGCTCAGTTCCACTGCCCACCTGGAGGCGTCGAAGGGGAGGTCAACTCAAGTCCTGGCTCGACACAGTTCTTCTTGAGCCTTCAGTGTTCGGTCTACGTGGCTGGAGAAGAGCACGGATTGGGCTTTCCCGAGCGGCTGCCGCAAATCGTCACGCGTGGAGAGGTACAATATGTGACTTCTTCGCGGCTGGCTATATCAGGCTTGATCATAGCCGTACCAATTACATGCAATATACAACACCAACTGATTGACATTTTCGGACAGTGGATTAATCCATGGGCGAGGGAAAAGAGGGCAAGGTGGACTCTGAGGACCTGATTCCAACGGCACACCAGTGTATTCATCACTATAATTAATTTGGTGCGCAATCAGTCGTGGCTTCGAAGGCTGCCAGATGGCTGAATAACTCGATCCTATTGGTCGGTACTGTGCGTGTATGTGGGGGACTGGCTGGCGACTCAGAGTCAGGCTGCAATGGCTCCTTCTTCATGTTGCCTTTGTGGTACTCCTAGTCCGATAGAATATGAACCACCCCTTGTATGAGACTCTGGCCCATTTTGCGGGGACCGGATAGTGTGTGGCACGCGTAGACAGACTGTTTCGCTTCGTCAACCACTGCGTCCGAGCCTGCCTGATCGTTTCAATTCTTTCAATACGTTTTTTTGTCATTCGAATGGTGCTCAAACTATGCATGACCCAACTCATATGCGTATCACTGTGATGTTGGAAAACGGCCTTTTTACGTAGTTTTACGCCCTCATAAGAGCCTTCGGCTTTCTGGCTAACATGCGATACTGTG